AAAAAAAAAAAGAAGAAAAAAAACAAAATAGGGGTGGGGCCGCATGGGTCCCACATTCTCTTCTTCTTCCAATTTGCAACGTTATAGCAGGAAGTAGAATACATTATGCTTTGCTTGTAATGGTATGACAAATAACCCTTATGCAAAATTTTGAAGTACTCAAAATGCGACCAAATTTTACGAACCGATATGTTGTTGGAATTTGAATTTCGCCAAGAATTTAAATATGCAATCAAAATTAGCAAACAAGCTACGAATTGGAATAATTGAAGTAAAAATTGGACAAAATCCATAATAAAAAATCGTTCGTTCCATCCAAACGTAAAACTAATTATATATTCATGACCAATACGAAAAACAAATTTAAATAGTATATGTGTTTGCAATTTTTGGTTGAGATTCACAGTTTTACCATTTTTATGTTTATGTGTTCATTAGTTAAAAATTATAAAGTTTCAAAATAGCACTAAAACATTAAGTTAAATGATGAATCATGATCAAAATAGGTGCAGAAACTCAACCATGCAAATAAATCGCTCAAATTACATCGGTTAAGGCCTACTTGAACGAAAATGCTTAAGCTCACTTCGACAACAACGGTGGACATTGTGGCTTTCCGATCAAGCTCCAAAGAAGGTCCAAACGAGCTTCTAGTTTATAATTTTTTGTATATATGGAATCCTCTCAACATCCTCTACTCAAATTAATGCTCAAATTCAAGATTCGAGAAACTTCAAAAATCGAGTTCAAAAAATCAAACAAAACCATTGATCTTCATTTCCCCCTTTTTGTTGGTGATATGGTGTTATTTAAATAGGTTAAGATGAATGTACATGAATTCAAATTCGTGCAAAATGTGAGGGTGAATTTTGGAGGGAGTTAGAATGTGAAAAATGAAGATGAAGAATGGTTAGGATTGCACTAATTAGAGATCCATATGAAAAAGTGTTTAATAAAAGGTTAAAATTGCACCTATTTGTGTTTATTAAAGTTAATTTTTTGCTAAAATGAGATTTGGTTATGGTTTTCTGTTTTTTTTTTAAGTTAGCAAAAGTATTGACTCAATTGGGACTGAATTTCCTTTGAGAGGTTTTCGCGTGACCATTAGGCCATTTGATTTTAGTTGTTAAATTAACATTTAAAATGTATATAATATTAATGAAATAGAAATTTCAAATATTATTTAAATATTTTTTGCACTAATTATCATTAAAATTATGTTTTATTTAAATTAATAATTTTAATGAGTTAATTATTTTTATAAATATATATTTTATTTTTAAAATAATATAATTGTGAAATCTTACTAAAAAATAAAAATTAAAAAAAAAAGGAGAAAATTAAGAGGGAAGTAACTTAATAATTAAAAAAAACAAAAAATTATTAGTGAATGAAATTTCAGTCACAATTTTTTTATGAATTAATTTATATAAAAAACGATTATTTGAGACTGAGAATTATGGTCACTAAATCTCAGCCGTTAATTCAGTGGTTAATTTTATTTTGTGACCGATTTAATGACTTTTAAAATTTTACTAACAAGATGTCAAATTTTGGTGGCTAATTTAGTCACTAGAGTGACCCGAATTTTTTCAGTCACTAAAAACGAATTTTTCTAGTAGTGTATGATGAAATATGGTTTTGTAGGTCAAATGCACATGGTAATAGAGCATGGCATGATGACTTGATGATGAGACAATGATTGTGGAAATAAAAGCATGAATTGTAATATGGTATTAAGATGATGATATTGTATGATGATCTGTAAATGAAAATAAACTTGATTTTTTATGGACTTTATTAAAAATAAAAGCATGCATGGTTTATGATTCGAATAAAAATTGGTTTATGGTTTGATGCAAAAACAAATTAAATTTAATTGTGGTGTTTGTTTATGAATGAGACTCAAATATGAATGCAAATGCAAATTGGTTCAAAATATATTAAAGAACAAATAATGGTGTAGTTGACTTTTGTTGACTTTTCTTTAAAGTGTCACATGACTTCAAAAAAATGCCAAAAATGAATGCTAATGATATGGTGAGAAAGAATTAGGTTAAACTAAAAAAAAAACTATGCATATGATAAATGGGTGAAATGATGAAGGGGAAAATGGGATATGACAATATATACTTATAACATAAATAAAAAATTCATAATAAATATCGCAATATCGTTCCATATCTTATCTTCAATTCACCGTCACCATCATGTCAACTATTTATCAAAATACTCATTTTTCTTCTATGTACTATGTAATTCCATGTAAACCTTAAAATCATCTGCATATTCCCCATAAGCCTTTTCGAATCTCAGATCAAAATTAACCAGGAAGCGAACACCTTTTTCGTGGGCTTTATTAACCTTGGTACAAATCGTGACACTTCTAGCTTTTCTTTTACTTTTTGTATTAATAGAAGTTGCAGCAGAAGTTGTATGAGAGATACTTATTGAATCACCCATGAACGTGTAAATTAGGAAAATTAGCAACGTATATATCAACTATAATTCATGTTAAGGTATTCAAAATATCTTGAAAAGAATCTGTTGTGAAACATTTTGTCTTTTATGTTGTGAGAAGAATTCACATTTTGTCTTTTGTGCTTAACTAGAACGCGGAAAAAACAAGAATAGAAATATACATTTAAGTTCCTAACAAGTGTGTTATCTAAAAGATGGATATATAAAAAGTTGGACTTTATAAACTTTGTATATATAGAACACTTGTTTTTCATATGAATACAACAACTAAACCACAATCGGACTACAACAACTAAAATATACATGTTAACCACAATCGGAATGCAAGTTATGATGAAACATATATGGTAACCGTTTGAGTTCTATGAACATTTAAGTGGTATTACATTTCAAACAACATTTAAGTGGTGAGAGATTAACATTTCTATAAGAGTTGAAAATTTTAGTTTGAGTTCTATGAACATTTCAGTGGTATTACATTTCAAACAACATTTAAGTGGTAACTACATTTCAAATAACATTTTAGTGGTGAGAGGTGAACATTTCAATGAGAGATGAACGTTACGTACCTTAAACGTGATGACAAAGTCTCAAAGAGTTTTGATAGAGATGATGTTGAAAGAGTTGACGTTGAAAAGAGATGATACTCGAGTTGATGTTGGAAGAAATTTGATGAAAATCACCTAGGTTTTTTTTAAGAGAATAACGATGAAACCTGAAGTGTTAATAGGTAAATCAAAATTTAGAGTCTAATTATCTGATGTGTTCATGCAAAAATTCAAATACGTCGATTTTTAGGAAAAACCAAGGAAATATATCAATTAAAAATAAACAAAAGTATAAAAGCCTCATATAGCGCTATATTTTTGCAATTATTTAAATTAACTATCACATCAGTTTTTAGTAATAACCGAGGTAAAATCTTAATTAATAATTAAAAATAATATAAATAATGCATAAAAAATGTATTTGAAAATATTGATGCAAAAGATATAACCCCTCGATTGACCATTATAAAGGGTAATACAAATAAAAATTAAAAATTAAAAAGAAAAAGAAAAACAGAAAGGCGTTATGTGACCATAAACCAATTAAAAATAAATACAAAATATATAATGCAATAATTGAGATTCCAAGCAAACTTTTTCGTATATATATTCCCTCGATTTTGGTAATAACTGAGGGTATATGTTTGTATTTAAAAAATAATAATAATGGTGTTTGAAGGGACATATACCTCGATTATTGGTGGGTCGAGGTGAAAGTTTCGTCATAAAAATTATTATTTGTAGTAGTGTTGAAAAATGAAACAACTAAGCATTATAAATTTACTTAGTGTTGAATAAAACTGAAATATTGTAAACAATGAAGCCGAACTTAGAAAACAAAGATAATTAAATCAGAAGTTGTCAAACAAAGACGAGTAAACGCTAACTTTTTTAGGAGGAACCATATGACAAAACCTTGAAAATTTGGAATAGATAGTTTAAGGAGGGATAAGAATATGAACTTTGGTGAATAGTTACAAGTTGACTCGTAATGATAAATTTGATTGATTCGACAATGTTATTGGTTACACATTTTGTTAGTTAGGAACCATATCTTTGAAAAATCATAAATATACACCACATGAAAAGCAACCATGAAGAATATGACAACATTGGAATGAAATAGAATAATGTTATTAGTTAAAAAAAAGTAAAAGTTGGACAAGTTTTGCCCCCTAAGAAGAGTTTTTCATAACATTAAAGGTTCATATATTATAGATGTCCAAAGAATCAATGTGAACAATAATCCTCAAGCTAATATCAAGCACAGTCATTATGATCGATATAATAAACAAAAAGAGAGACAAAAAAAAATCACGTTATAGATATCATCAAGTGCAATCAGAGGTAAAAATATAACTAACTCTGAAAGTGGGAACAACCAAACTCTCCACCATTTTTCAACTCACACCATTATGCATTCTTAGAAACAACACCATGATTTCCAATTCAACACCCAACCATAATTCTCTATAATGTAAGTCAACTTTCAAATTTTTTCAACTTTGTTTTAGTCTATTTCTGAGACTTGATTGAAGTGTATACATTTTTTGTGCATCCGAAAATACAAATCCAAGTCTTAATTTAAAAATATGCTTCCAAATTTATTTTTAACAAAATAAAGATAAAATAAGAAACTCACTTGCGAAATGCTAGTAAAATTCAAAAAAGCAATTTCAAACTTCACACAGAGTGTTTGGTCAACACTCAATCCCTAACTTTATTTCTTCCATTTTGGTGGAATTGGCCCTTTATTCCATCATGTGTAGCACGAGTCAAAATTACGGCACACCTCACGCATAATACTAAACCTCAACGCAGTGACGTCACCGCTGTATCGTCATCAATTACTTTCTTAAAAAATTCTCGCTGTACGCGCTCCCTCATTATAAAATCACACATCAAACTATCTCAAACACGACCCGAAATTATGCAACAATACCAACTCAACCACTCTTAAGAATATTCTTCATGGAAAATAAGAAAAAAGAGGTCAGAAACGATGGCGATGACAGTGACGAAGAAAAAGAAGACATGAAAATAGAGAAGTTTTACTCTCTGTTAAGAAGCTTCCGTGACGCCCGCGATCGACTACGCCGAAGGGAAGAACTACATGATCAGCTAGATCAGAAAGAGAGAAACAAGAAAAAGATGAAGATAGAGCCTTGCTTTGAATTGCAGGATTTTACTACAGATATTCACTTCCCTTTCAATTTTTCGGATCCTGTAAAAAACAACAAGAAAAGTGAGAAGAAAGATCAACTCAAGGAACATGCTCTTGACCTTAAACTCTCGCTCTCTCACTAGAGTCTCTCTATTTTTTTTTCCTTCGTTATGGTTATGTGCTCTTAGAGTAACAATGTGCTCTAGTATTTTTTTTTCTTAATCATCATCTACTATCTGATTTCTTTTATGTTTTTTATTTTAGGAAAATGTTGATGAATATCTTGAGTAATCTTTAAGATTCAAAATAGTAGTTTTTTTATAAAAGGTTGTTTGTTTAAGACATTAAAAATTGAAGTGTGTAGTTTTATAAATATTCTTTTTAGTTTAATAAGTACTCTTTAGCAGGCTTTAAGAATGGTTTGGTTTGAATTTTAAATTAAGAAATATTCATAACAGAGAAATTAAGAAAAACGTGAAAGTGAAGCAAGAAGAGGCAAAAAAGAAGATTCAGAGTCAATGGTAATATGAGTTGTCCGTTGCTTGGGAAACGGCGAAGCTATGGGACCTGTGATACTTATGCACTTTTATTACTAAACAATACTTTCTCTATTTTAAAATAACAGATGTTTAAAATTTTTTGCAGACAAATTAAAAAATGCAATAATATTGTCATTAGATATTATAATTTTATTAAATTATTTTTATTAATGTGTTATAAATAATGTTTAAAGTAATAATTATACAACACAATTGAGAAAATAGTAATTATTACTGTATTGAAAAGTGAAAATAACATTCATTTTAAAATAAAAATTTTCTCATAAAACGACAGTCATTTTAAAACGGATGGAGTAACATTTTTTAAAAATAATTAAATAAATAAATAAAATTAGAAACAAAAAATTTATTAATGGGAGTGTAGGTTTACTCAAATATATTTATATCAGTAAATCTGAATCTAATATCACATTCTAATCACATTCTAGAAAGCAGTGTTTTAAAAACCGAACCGGACCGGCCGGTCGGACTGGAAACCGACCTGATTTACTAGTTCGATCGTCTATGTCATCAAACCGGGAAAAATCGGGTTTACGGTTCGACCGGTTCTAATGCATTTTTTATTTTTTAATTAAAATTTAAATGCAAAAGTTATAAAAATTATTAAAAAAAATTGTTTAAAATTAGATTATGTTGCAATTATTTTGTAATTTTGTATTATTTTGTTATGTGTGATACATTTGTTTAAAATTTGAATTTAAATTATGAACTTGTGAATTTATGATATGATATTTTCAAAAAATTTAAGTACTAGTTATATTTTTTTAGAAACTGAAACATCCGGTTCGACCGGTTTTATATCTATATAATGACAGGTCTATTCAACCGAATTATCCGATTTAGTCATGCGGTTCGACCGATAAACTAGTGACCCAATACCCTCACTGGTTCGATGACCGGCCCGGTTTTTAAAACACTGCTAGGAAGGATTGCAAAGATGTAATTGTAGTAAAATAAGTTCAACCCATGAGAAATATCTATTTTTTCACGTGTTTTTGAAGCAATTAAGATTTTAGATCTGCATTCTCTAAAATATATATCTTACACTATTTTTCTGCGAATTTTTGCAGGCATACAAATTAACTTTATTTTTTTACAACTTTTACCTTTTAGAAATGCCCGTCCACACTTTTTGCGGAGTAGATCAAGATTTTTGGTCTACGCTCTCAATCATGTCCTTTCTCATTCCATCCTATTTTTTAAAGGTTTTTGTTAGACGGACATGTTCAACCACCAAATCATGTGCGTGAAGGTCGGATTCAAAAATTACACCATCAATTAGAACAACCAATATTCATCCCAGATTCAAGAATTACACTATCAGTTATAACAATCGACATTCGTCCAATTTAAACAAAACAAACAATTATTAACTTCTGCAACTGCACAGGCCCTAACAGGTTCAATATCAAATTCTTGACATTCTCTGTCGCAATGTTAACTCGATCCCAACCAATCATCTTATGATTGGAATAGTTCACTAATTTACATTGTTGCAAAATGTCAAATTTCTGACAAACATGGCACACTTTTGAAATTTTATTTTCTAAATGCCACAATCCAAAACAAAATGTCTTAAATGTTATATTTTATATTTTTTAAAATTAAAATATTAGGTGTTAACCACTAAATAGAGTCATATGGTGTTTTCCTCTTCGGGCTTCCGGCCATTCATTGTCATTACCATATTTTTTTTGTTTTTTATTTATTATGTTATATAATAAAATTTGTATTTGATCGTACCTGATCAGAAAGGAGTCAGTAGTCTGCCACACGTTGTAACTTACTGCCTTCATCGGTATTGTAGAGGAGAAATGGGGTGTACCTGCAAGATGCTCTGATGCTTAAGTGAGTAACAGAACTAGAGAGAGCAAGTGCAGAGAAAATGTGTAGTGAATAAGATACCTGACCCTCTAGTGAAAGAGGGTATTTATAATGTGTCCTCAGCGCAGGGCCAACGGTCACATTGCAGTCGGTCAGATTGCCAAGCCCAACACAAGTAACTGTCAGGGCTTACGTGGCGTAGTGAAAACCAACATGTGGTCTTCACCCTAGACCAACTGCCCCGTGATCTTCGGAAGGTGGGCTCACCAACTCTTTCGGAAGTAGGTAGTTGCCTGATGACGTGTTCCCGTGTGGGGGGTACGTGGAGTCTAGGGGGAAAGCGTGTGAGCTCTCCTCGTGCAAGATAATGCTCTGCTCGACTAGTGTGCCTTGTTGAGGCTTGTGCCCGACAGAGAGGATTGGGCCTTGTTGGGCCTCATCAGCATAGTATTGGGTTGGGTCTGCCCATATGCGGGGCAGGTCTCGGCCCAGTCCAGAACAAGAGTCCCCTAAGTCGTTGCTCCCAGGTGGAGGAGTAATGACTTAAGGGAAGGTCGGAATATCGAGGACCTCTTCGGGAGATGGTATTTGCCTGACGCATAGAATTGGGAGTCATGTACCAGGTCGGGAGCGAAGGATGCTCGACGGGACAACATGTCGGGAAGTTAGACAGCGTGAAGGATGTGCTCGCTCTCCGAGCCCGAAAGGGAGACGAATGGATGTGAAGCTTCTGGTGCTTCCTTGTGTCAGGTAATCATTGCTTAGCTAGGGCGGCTAGGGGTAGGGGCATTTGAGTGCCTAGGGGCGCCTCGAGTCTCGTGTTAGGCTTATAAATAGAACCGAGTTTGCTTCAATTCTCACTTTTCACTTCTACCATTCTAGACGCTTCCTCTTCTTCTCGTCGGACTTCTCAAACTTCAGCACCGAGACGTCCGCCATCCGCTTCCGTATCGTCCTCCCAGAACCGTCGTACCAAGTAAGTCTCTGCTGCCTTACTCTCATTTTTCCTATTTTCCAACGGTTTCTCCAGTTGACTTGATGAATGCCCCTGGGAGACTGTGAATTTTCCGTCGAATACGTCGGAACTTCTTTGAATTAGTGTAAATTTAGGATGAAGCCCTCAGGGACAAGCGATGAAGCCCCCGGGGATGTAGGATAGTTTTGGATAAATCTCCTAGGGACAAGCGATGAAGTCCCTAGGGACGTAGGATAGTTTTGGATGAACCTCCCGGGGAAAAGCGATGAAGACCCCGGGGACGTAGGATAGTTTTGGATGAACCTCCTAGAGACAAGCGGTGAAAGTCTCGGGGGTCCGCTCTCATCTGTCGAGGCGGGAGATGCCTCATCTCTAGGGGTCTCCCTTCTTCTCCCTTTCACTTGATTTGCGGTGGAAGGGTGTATTTGATCTGGAATGTCAAATTCACCAATTTCCTCTGCTTTTCAGGTGTAAATGGCTGGTTGGGTACAGGGGTTATTGAAACTGATGACAAGCATGATTCCCTAATGGCGCAGGCCGTGAAGTGCAAAGAAGGTCTGCCGCAGATTAGGACGGGGAGGAGACCTTGAGTGTCTCTTCTCTCTTTGTCGTGGGTGAGTTTGACGCTTATGCTAATGTCGAGGACCGCTGTGAGGGCTCCCCCGTGAACTGGAAGGTGTACAAACCACGAGCAAACCATCAGATATGCTTGGTTTATAAAGGGATGAGGTTCCTCATGTATGAGTTTACCTTTTGGGAATCGGGCTTGCGTCTGCCCTTCACCGACTTCCAATTGGGAGTTTTTTACTGGCTTCAGCTGACACCCTTGCAACTACATCTTAACGCGATTGCGTTCGTGCGGGCATATGAGCTCGTCTGTCGACATCTCAACATCGGGGGCACTCTCACCCTTTTCTTCTACATCTTCCACCTTCAAAGACAAACGCTCGATGGTCGATACAGCTGGGCGTCCTTGAAGCAACCGAGAAGGCTTTTTCTGGTTTACTTGGATTCCATCCGAACTTTCAAGAACCGGTATTACGTTGTCAAGCTCGTGACTCACACGATCGTGGACTTGCTTTTCAACCTGGAGGTCCGGGAAAAAGACGGGCAGCTGGAGAAAGTCTTAGTGTTGAAGATTCCGCTGATTTGGATGGAGGAACATTTCGACAAGGGAACAAACAGCTACATAGTGCGGGCATACTCGTTGGATGCCGACGACCACGTGGCTTACCAGAAGCTGGTCGCATTCGTGGCTAGTTTCACCCCTGCAAAGTGCGTGACGCCGGACGGGAATTTTATCCTCGAATCGAATAGGGAGATTCTTAGGGAGTCGCGATTGATCAATACGAGGGCCCTCCTCGACTGTGTGTTCGATAAGGAAGCCCTGCGTCTTTTAGATAGTGGGTTCGCTTTCCGCTCGGGCCTTGTCTGTGCATTCGTTGTTGGTTTGTATTTTGCTGACTTTGTTTATTTTTCTTTTGCAGGAGAAATGTCGAGCATGCACGAGTGCGTAAAGAGGTTGGCAGCCAGCAAGGGCGTGAAGAAATCTGGTAAGGGGAGGATTACCCAGGTATAGCAAATGTCTGGTCCCGAACAAGGGCCCGGTGGCTCCTCATCTTCCCCTTAGAGCAGCCAGTCCCCCTCCTCGCATGGTACATCTAAGAGGGTGCGGGTTACTGAGCCTGAGACCGTCGACCTCACCAAGGGCAATGTCGAAGAGAGGTTCTTGCTCCTGCCCTGTCATATGCAACCCGTGTTCTTTTGTGGGAGCTAACTCCCT